TAAATGGCAATTTTACACCGTATATTTATTTCTTTGCTCCACTTGATAATCTACTTCCCTTTAAACACCAGTTACTCTAATTTCTTTATCTGACACCACTCTGGACATCACCATTTGTTGACCTTACAGCTTCATTTTGAACCTGGGTGCCTCCACCAGGTAGATTCTGAAGGGGAAAGCAGACACCTCCTTCTTTCTTTTTCTTACCAGTAATGTCACCATATTTTTTCCCCAATGATCTCGCCTGGCATCAATCAAATGGTTTGAAGGAAATCATAAGTATCTTCTAAAGTCATTTGAACATTCACTTAGGACTTACTATGTTGCAAGCATTTTTGCAGGTCACAAGGTGCAGCAGTGAGCCAAACGTCCGCAGTCCTCCTCAGCAGGCTTGCAGAAAGTACTGGAAAATGACAACAGCTTGTACAGACTAAGGGCTTATTCTTGTCGGGCACTGTGCTCTATATGTATTACCACACTTCTGTCTCATGGGAAGTAGCTATTATTACTATCCCTACTTTGCAGATGAGGAAACTGAGGATTGCCCACAGCCATACAACTAGGAATGGGCAGAGCTGGAATGCAAATGCAGGTTTGTTTAATGCCACACACTTAACCATACATGCATCTTTTTTCTCTCTCACACACACAAAACTCACACCTCAGAGCTGGTGAGTGTGTGGCTGGAGAATGTCAGTTCCATAACTCTGCTGCAGTTTTTACCAAATACTTTGATTTGCAAATATAAAGAATTCTCTGAAGCACAACCTTAACCAAATTGTTGTAGACAGCTGGGTGAGGACAGCTGCGACAGAAAAAAAAAATGTGGCCGGATGCTCTGGGGTTGGGTGGGACGGATGTGCAGTGAGGTGGTGGTAAGGAAAGGAAGAAGTGACAGGCCAAGGTAACAGTGACAGATTAAATCACCTAAACCCCGAACTACTCAAAGCATGGTGGAGGCCTTATGATAAATTTTTCTTTGCCTATATCATTCAGTGATTATTCAAATAAATTTTAAAATCTCTCTTTTTTTCTGAAGTATGTCTGACATAATCAGGTAGCATGTCATTAGGATTACGAATCAAGAGACCTAAATTCTCACTCAGATATGCACCAACTAGTTTAGTTGTGTGACCTTTTGCAAGTGCCTTATTTTCTGTCATTCTAGATTTTCTCCCTTCTAAAACATGGGAGTTGGGCTACTGACCCTTGAAGATTTTGGAAGTTCCAAACTGCTCTGATGCTGATTTATTGAGAACCTACATTGTGTCACCTTCTGCATGAGACAATTCTGGGGTTTAGAAGCAGTTAGGAGACACATTTGTAGCCCTTTGGACCCGCACTGTTCAGTACAGTAGTCACCAGCCACATGTGGCTATGGGTTGCCTGAAATGTGGTGTGACTGAATTATAACTTTATTTAATTAAATTTAAGAAACTGATACTGTATTCAGTTATTAAAAACTTTCATGTTTGAAACAATGTAGGGATATGAATCTTCTTTTCTCAGTGGTAAAATTTGTGCGATCTAAATATACATCAGGTGGTTTTGATACAAATTTAGCATCTGAATTGGAACGTGTTGTAAATGTAAAATACACCATATTTAAGACAATATAAAAAAGGGATGTAAAATATCTCATTAATTTTTGTATTGACCTCATATTGAAATGACAATGCTTTGGATACATTGGGGATAAATATATATTAGAATTAATGTAATCTGTATTTACTTTTTTAATGTGACTATGATCATTTAAAACGACATATGTGGCTTGCATCATGTTTCTTTTAGATGGTTTTGGAAGTTTATAAACTATGGTAGGTGGTTTGATTGGCAATCTAGATCCTAGTAATTTATGCTTTGGAGAAAAGAATTGTGTCACTCTTTGAGAAAGACATCTGTACCAGTCTGAGACATTACTCTCATCACGGAAAAACTTGTCACAATTACCTTTGCTAACAGGGTTTGTTTTTAAGAGCCAGGGGATACAAGATCTCCTAGAGTCTCTGTGGTCCTCAGTGCTTCCCACATTGCGATACTCTATAGGCACCATGGATAAATGCACTGTGACTTACCCATCTGAGTACACCCAGCACTCCCACTTCCAGAAAGGGGATCTATTTGGACTCACCGCCCTCTTTCAACCCCTGTTGGGTGAGTGTTTGAGCCAAGCCCCTTCAGAGGCTGTTGGCCCCTAGTGTGTCTGGCTGCTTTTGGCCTGGCCACAAATTTCTGGTTTATTCGGTTGGAGAAAGGTAGTAGTGCTTGTTTTACACTTTCCACATGGATTGAACTGTAGAATTTTGACACAAAAATAACTTTCTGCAGATGGAGCATGTGTCAATGGCAAGCATTTTTATTATGGGGCCTTCCTCTTTATATGAAATTCCACTCATCTTCTCTACATCTATAGGGAGTAAATGTACCATCAGGTAGAATCGCCTTCCCTGATTGGCATGTGGTCAGTGCATGGTTACTGACCTGGTGTGATTGGAGAGGGTCACTTTCCCTGGACAGAATGTGGTGAATATCATGGCATAATCAGAAAGAATCACCATCCCTTGTCCCATATGGTGATGCACTTAAGTGACTAGGGAGGACCACTGTATTAGTTTGCTAGGGCCACCATAACAAATATTGTACCACAGACTGGAAGTTTTTACCAACAGAAATTTATTTTCCCACAGTTCTGGAGGCTAAAAGTCCAAGAACAAGGTGTCAGCAGGTTTAGTTTCTTATGAGGCTCCTCTCCTTGGCTTGCCGACCACCATCTTCTATGTCTGCACACGGTTGGCCCTCAGTCTGTGTTGTGATCTCCTCATTTTGGATAAGGGCCCACTAGTACAATCTCAGTTTACCTGAATTACCTCTTCAAAGGCCCTACATCCAAATACAGTAACCTTTGAGGTACTGGGTGTTAGGACTTCGACATAGGAATTTGTTGGCATGTTTTATCCATTACAACCACCATCCCTGGTCAGTATGTGGCATTTAAGGATCAATTTAATAAACTGTGCGTTCAGAGGCAATAACCACAGAATGAACATTAGATCACATAGGGATTCCTACTCAAGAGAATGAGACTTTGAACATGGACCTTTGAAATGGCTGTGTATAATTTAGGTAAATGAGGTAGGACAGAGGAATGTGTTGAGTCCTGAATCTCACTACAAGGCCATAGGTGGTACAGTCTGCTCCTTAGCACCAGGAATTAATTCCCTGTTACTTGAATTACAGCGTCTGAGCCCAAGAGAATGTAGCTGAGTGTCCTTGGGATAGTGTGCTGAATCCTAGCTGGCAAATCTGACATCAGATACAAGGGTTAACAATGTATTAATGGGCATAAGAGAAACTCACGCAACAAGTGCAAGCTCTGCACCTATGAACGTAGGGCAAGGAGGTGATCAGGCTGGGAGTGGAAGGTAGAAAACAGCGAAGGTTTCTGATTTCTGGAGAGTGGAACCTTCTTAAAGTTGGAAACTGATGAATAGGTGCTAATGAGGAGGTTGGTGAAAAGCTGGAATCAAGGCAGAGGCAGGAAAATACAAGACATGAAAAGCCCCCTAGGGGGCTGACTGGTTAGAGCAGACAGCTTGTGACCACAAGAAGAGTTGGTTTAAAGCAGTGATGGAGAAATGTGAAGTGAAGTGGGACCCGGAATATGACGGAGAGGAGGGCCGACTGTGAGGAGATTGCTAAGAGCTGGCGACTGACTGATGTCGTAATTGAGGAGGTCCCTAGTTAAACCATACCCAACACAAAAATCACTACCACACACACCACCCTGTGATTCCTGGAGATCACTATTTCCAGGGCTGCTGCTGAAGCCTCTGGGATGCTTCTCCTGGAACAGACTCCACAGTTTGTAGACTTTTAGATAAGGGTAACAGCAAAGTCCATTTAAGCATGAGGTTTTTTGTTTGTTGTTTTTCGTTTCCGTTTTTCCATCTTAAGGTTTCTCTTTTCACTCCAATAGTTAGCAAAAAGAAACTGGGTAGATGGAAGCAATATTCTCCAAGTGACAAAGCTTAGGAATAGACACACTCAATTGGGATGAGTAACTTGAGAGCAAGCAGACTTCACTGAATGACTCTGAGGCATTTTATGCATTTATCTTGGGGAAAATACAGTATGGAAAAGCGAGCGGATGGCTTAATGGGAATTTGCTTGGCTTATTGGGATAGAAAAAGGAAATCTCCTCTTTAAATGTTGAGTGTTAGAGTCTTTGGAAAGAGAACAATTCCCCTCCTGATATATTTTCCAAATAGTCTTCTACAACTATTTTAAATATGCTCTGCATCCAGTCCTATATTACACAGAGCAAGACAAAAGCTCAGTTGTGTCTTGCACAGAACTTTCCAGCTTTTCGTTCTCTTGTGGGCTTTTGTCTTTTCTGTTAGCACCCTACATGCAAAAGCAGCAATTCGTCCTACCGGGACTGTCCTTCCATTGCCTTCAGCCATGGCTTAGTCAATTCACTGTAGCTACGTCAATGCTGGCCAAGTTCTAGCAAACTGAGCTCCTCACTTGCGGGTAGGTTCTGGTCTCCAGGAACATGAATCGGAAGAGTCAAAAACAGGACTCCAGTAGGAACGGAAGTTTAGGAATGAATGGGAAGCAGCTGAGACTAATTTTGCTTCTTCCCTCTCCCCAGACTACCCATACTCACACCTTGTGGACTGACCACTCGGAAGGCGGGGGATGGAGCAGCCAGTTCGAGTTACAGACCCGCACGCGGCCCTCGCAGCACCTGCCCCACCCCTCCCTGGTAGCAATTACCTCAGCGCCCCACCTGCGAGAGCTCCGCCCAGCCTTCGGCTCGCCGGGAGCGGGCCACACCCTCTCACCACTGGGGCCCCGCCCCACTGCACGCGCCGCCGGCCGGCGTCCCGCCCTCCTGCCACGTGACAGCCCCGCCCTCTACCCGCGCTTTGATTGGCTCTCCTGATTGATGGGGTGGGATCTAGCACACAGCACTGCCCCGCAACGCGGCTGCAGTTTTCAAACCTTAACTGTAAGCTCGGCTCCCGTCTCTGCTGAGGTCGCCGGGAGCCACCTCACAAGGAGCCGGGTCACAACTGTTGGCCGTTGTGCGGAAGAATAAAAGTGGGTCCTGCCACGCTCGGAGATACCCGGGGCCCCAACCGGCTAGAGCTGGAGAACGAGTCCTGTTGCGGCCACTGGCGTGGGGCGGGACGGGAGCCCCCTTGGAGGGGCCAACTCCGCAAGAACTTGCTGCGGCCGGAGCGGTCAGTGTCTTCCTTCTTGCGCGTCCGCGGTTCTCCTGGGATGGGCTGGTAGCCTCGGGGCGGCGACTTCATTCCCCCGAACCAGCTCCCTCTACCTTGGCTACTGAGACCTCAAAGGTGGAAGGAGTCCCGAGAAGGGATCCAGGAGGTGTGGGCGGGACCCCGGTACCTTCCGATCCGCCGACCTGGCGGAGATGTTTGCGGACTCGCAGCTCCTCAGGTGGCTCGACCGCTCCGGGCCGGTCGCCGCGTCCTGCTCCTCTGGTTCCCTCGGGTTCGGCGCAGGAGGCTGTCAGTTGTCTTCCCCACACTCTGTCTGAGCCTAAGAGCTCGTCCTTGCGTGTTCGCGCCGTCTCCTGGCCGGCCTAGGCTCTCCCCGGGTCGTGTCCCATGGGGGGCCTCCTTTGTGACCGGCTTGTGCGCGTTCCTTCCACGTCGCGTCGACGTGGTTCTTCGTGTCCCTCCCGAGTTCACAGCTGTGGTGTGGGCACAGGACGGGTTCGCATCTGGACTCGTGGACACCTCCTACTCACAGCTGCCTTTAGTCTAGAGAAGTTTGTGCTCATCTTGTGGGTCATTTTGAGTTACTGCTTGTAAACAGTTTTTAAACTCAGTGAATAGAAAAGACGAATTACAGTTGTTTCAGTGATTTTCCGCGATCTGATTTTGACGCCATGTAAACCACTTAAGGGTACATGACCTATGCTCAAACTCTATAACCTATATCCACGTGATGGCTACGATTTTGACATTTGTCCAGCTCTTTTAATGTAGGGAAAAGATCTTCACTTGAGTTCCCTTAGAGAGATTAGTAGAGACAAAGTTGAAAGAGACTTTATGGCAGCTAGTAGATGATATTAGTTCTTTCTCGCTCTTTTTTATTTTTATTTTTATTTTGTGTGTGTGTAGGTGAGGGCAGTTGTGAGACTGGAAGCACTCCGACATCGATTTACAAAATGAAATTAAGAAAAAAAAGACATTTAAAAAATCCACCCACGTGATGAAATGTCAGTATTACGTCTGTGTATATCACATTCACTGGTTGCTTTGCCCAATGTACGTGTTTACATCTGTGGTACCAGTGATATGCTGAACCTGCAGAGATGTTTAATATGGAGTGGCCCCGCTAAGTTCTCGAGTCGTTGAGAACGAGTGCTCTGAGACGGCGTGGTGGACAGAGACAGCTGGACAAGCGACAGCGTATGTAACCAGGAGCACACTTTTATCAGAGGACAAGATGATAAACCTGCTTTCTCACTGATACACCGTTTTATGGTTTCATAGTGATCTGCCCAGAAGGAGTGTAGTTTTCAACCCCTTCTAAAATGTTTGTTTTATAAATATTAAATCACATAGATTGTGTATGTTTGAAAAAGCAGGTCCATAGAAACAGTGCTCTAATTTTGGGACCCTTCTTCCTCCTTCATCCTCTTCTGAGCCAGCAAAAATTTTTAAAAAATATTTCTAATATTTTAAAAATTGGAGTTATAAATAGCTGCTTTATTTTTTGGGAAATATATACATTTTAGATAATATTTCTAAATTATGGATCTAAAATTAAAGTGAAAGGCATGGTAATATATTTGAGTTTTAAAAGTAAAACTTGTGTAATATTTGAAGGCCTTTTCTTTTTGTGTGCAGGCAGAATAGTTGCCGTTTCTCATGGCCTCATTGAAGAGTGAATTACAATTTGTTTAAGACAGAATCAGTTTTTCAGGAAAATTGGAGACTTGACTGTCAACATATTGATAACAAGTCAAGAAGATGCAGGCATTTTTTAGGGTCATTTCTAATCAAACAACTTTATTTTTAAGCTTGCACTAACAGTGTTTTACTGTTAAGTAAACATTTAAACATTTTAAAAGCTGTTTCAAAGCTGTTTGATAATTATAAGAGAATTTTCTTGTCAAAATTTTCCTGTTTTAATCTAGAGCCCAAATTTAAAACCCAGGAATTAAGGAAATCCATTGCTAACACTTTCACTTAATCATAAAATTGTCTTAACATTGCACATATATTATAGAGCATATTTCCTGTATATAAAATTGGCAGCTAACATCAGTGCTTTTAGAATATCTGCTTTTAAAGGATTTTGGTTGACTCTTATTTTTTTAAAGAATTCATTTGCATCCTGCGGGCATTGGTTGTGTTAGAAACATTAATAGTCACTTAGGTACTTCCTTTCCATTTGGGAGAACTTTAATGTTTTAGCTGCTTTAGTTTTCCACAATATTGATTACAAAATTCAATGATTTATTTTTAAGTGATTTATATTCTGTGATAGACTATAATCAAAGAATAGTTCTTTGAATATTTTAATTAACAAGTTTACTTATAAAGTTACAAACATTTTTATCCAAATATGTTGTGATAAATGTTGTGATTTTCAAGGCATACTTTATTAAAATTTTTTATTTCCTTCATTTATTTATCCCTTTTTTACCCCCAAATACATTTAACTGTGAACTTCAACATCTAAACTGGTCAGTTTCTTTTAGTATTTATATGCAACATATTTTGGTGCACCCCTGACTCTTTGCAACTTCTTCCCCAAAAGAGGGCGCAATTATACTTTAAGCATTTAAAAATTTTTGTATTAGTGAGGTGTTAATTTCATCTTTAATCCTCAGATGATCACATTCCATTTTGCATTGGAATAGTTACTGAATAAACAGTACTTCAGTGATACTATAAGTAAACAGTATTTTATTTTACAACAGAAACTTAATTTTTTGACAAGCACTGTGTGTATGTTGGCCCACTGTAGTTCTGTTTTGCAATATCATTCTATACTGTTTCATAATTATAGGGTTTGTTTCTTCTTCTGAAGATAGAAGAGATGGCACCAGGCTTTACTGTCCTGGCACAGAATCAAGCCCGGGGTCATTTCCTGGGACTTCATCCCTTGGGTAGTATACACAAGTATACTAGACTGCTTGGACTAGAGTCAGTTAGCTGGCATGCTATTGCAATTTTCAAAGGATTAAATTCTTGAATTATTCTTTCTATTCAATCTTTTTAAAAAAAAGATAGTAGAATATGTATAAGGAAAATGGTCTGTTCCTTGCAATTGGAAATCATTGTTACTCCGATGTTAAAATGGATCAATCTGCGATGCTAGCAGGAAGTTTGTCCTTTATGTTGATGGATGCTAGATAAACAAATCTCCAATTTCTCTGTTTCCTAGGGAGAATTTAGTAGCTATAAATGTCCATCTGTCGGTTTGCCAAAAAGTCTGTTTAGTTTTTTCTGTAAAATAAAGGACACATTTTTCATTTCCACCAATAATGTTATTGATTTGAATACTTTGAGTAAGTTGGCTACCTCATGCTATTGGCTTCTAGTGGGTAGAGGCCAGGGATGCTGCTAAACATCTTCCAGTGCATAAGACAGTCCCACAGCAGTTATTTGGCAAAAATGTCAGTACCAAGAAACTTGGCAAACCACTTATGTATGACATGTTCCATCAGTCACAGCACCTTCTCCATACATTGTACATATCTTTTTTTGTGTGTTTCAGTTGTGTTTTTACTGTTCTTGAAATAATGCATAATATGCTGAAAATGTTGCATATTTCCATCTTCAATATTAAAATGACTGCACAAAAATTCACCAATTTTGATAAGTTTTTTTAAATGCACGCTAATATGACTGCTGTCACATTACACTCTAATAGAATTGTTTCGAATGAAGTTAAAGACAATTAAGCATTACTAGAGCCGTTGTATGGAAAAAACTAAATGAAGTTTTTGGACAATCCAATAGAAAGGAGTTGTTTTCTTGTAATCTTGTGGCCCACTTTGCTTTCCCTTGCCTTTCAAGTTTATTTCAGGAAAATCTAGATTGATTAGTCCTTGACAAGGAAATGTCTGAATTAATTTCCTGGTTGAGGTAGCTCTTAAAAATACTGATTTCCTTAGCTGAAGAAGGTATTTACATAAAAACAGGTGGTCACCGAGTCTGGAAAGGCAGGTCAATACAAAATAAATGGTCTGTTGGTATTGCATTATGATATATGATAAAATAATTTTATCCATATTTCCATACTTTGTAGCCATCCTGTTTAGAGAAGAAATTCACTAATGGCAATTTAAAATATACCTTACTTTATTTAACCAAATATTGAATTAAGCAGACTAGCTGCATTTGAAGTTACAATATATAATTTCAAGATGGATCTCAAGTTCTACACTACCCTTTATGATATGGGACTTCTTGCTAATTCTTTATAATTCAGTTCATCAATCGTTTTGAAAATTCCTACCAGGTGCTAGGCACCATGCTGGGAGTTTAGACACAAAAGTAAATGGTTGCTGCCCTTTAGACACTAAACATAATTGGGATTTAATGTGTTAGATATTGAGATAAAGAGAAATTTGAAGCATAAAGGAGAGGCACTTAACACAACCTGTGGGTTTTTTAAAAAGTCAAAGCTTCTGCCAAGGGGTGGGGGAGGGGAGATGTGTGTATAAGAAAAGTTAGCCATTTAAGGAGAGGTAAAAAGAATGCTTCAGATAGGAAAGTAAAACGGAGATGTGGAGGTAAAATATAAGATGTGAATGTGGCAGAAAATGAAGCTGGTGTGCACCCAGCCCCAAGGGCATTTGTGTGTCCTGCTGTAAAGACTTAATAGCTTCTAGGTAGTACTGGGAAGCTAATGAAGAGATCAAGATAGACAGTTTACTTCTCTAGGTGTTTCCAGTTATTGTATATGATATATTCTACTTTTATAAGATATTTTTGTTTGATAAGTTTGAAATGAAACTCATAATGAATATTTTTAAAATAGAACTATTTAGAGGTTTATAGGGATCATTTGTCTACTTTTGATCACAACACGTTTGCTTTCACCCTTCAAGTAAGGTCCAGATCAAGTCTAACATTTCTTTTTCTGTTCCTTCACTGATGCTTATCTGATTTCTTATTCTAATTATTGTTAATGAGAGTTAACGAAAAAAATCTTTGAAAATAAGTTTGCGATACCATTATTCCTGGTGGTACTGTGTAATTGAAAGCTTGATTGTATCTTGCCCTTATTACCCTTTCACTGTTTCTGATGTTCGATTGTATCTATGATTGTGGGTCTACACACACAAACACATGTATACAAACATAAATTTACTAAGTCCTTTAATATTTTTATTAGTATAGTCTAATAAAGTGTTATGAAATGTATTTCAAGTAGAGTGAGACGTTGCTTATTCAGAATCAGTTACAGGTCTGTGAAATGTGGTAGAAAACAAGAAAAGGTTGCAGATTGTTTGTTGGAGTTAAAGAGAATAGATGAGACAGAGAGCTTACTGATAACCTTCATGTACCTCCTGTTAAATCTTATATAAAGGGCAACCAGATGTTTGCGAAGGTTTTGGTGAACAGAAGTGACATTCAACTGTGCTATATGCAAAACTGGACAAAGGGGAGGAAATGGAAAAATATCTAGGCTGTGGCAACCGGTTCAGGGGCAGCAAATGGAAGGAAAATGCACTTAAGGGATATTATATGGTTGTCTTAAGCAGTTTGTAACATAGGTACTGTATATTAGTAGTAAGTAGGTAAATTTAAGATTCACTCTTCAGAAATGTGCTCTTTGTTTTTTCTGAGGCATGCATGGCTTGTGTTCCAGCATATTCAGAGCCGTAATAAAATGCATCAGAGTTCAATAATGATTTTTGCATTGATATGTATTTTAAGAACTGCTAACTGCCCAATGCTATTTTCAGCTACATATATAATCACACAAGTACATGTGGTATATTAATTCATTATGACGACCAACAGTACATGTGAGTGAAGGAAAATTTGTTAGGGTGAAAAATAAACACAAGTCAATATCCTCTATTAAGAAATACTAAGTAGCTTGAGTAGTAAGGCCTTATTTATATTATCTTCCATTTCAGTCATTAAAAAAAAAACAACTAAGTTCTTTTTCCTTCTAAAATAACTAGATAATAGATATTCAATGTATTTGGCTTTCACATTTTGGGTTTTTTTTTTTTTTTTTTTTGGAGGGGTCCCAGGATGAGTCTGGATTTTCACAAGCGATAGTCATAATAGAGGCATGTGTCTTAAGGTTACAAATTTTTATTCATTATATAGAGTTATAACTATAACATTAATTCAGAATTTCTTAAATTGTTTTTTTTTGTGCAGTATTAAAGCAAGACATTAATTCTTGCTCAGTCTTTATTCTAAATACCTATATGGTCTCTACATAAGAACTGACACACTATTGGGATAATGAACACCATCTGCTCTATATAAATGCAGTGAAAACATTGAGACCTTTAAAAAACCTGAGTAGTAATGGCTCTCAAACTTCTAGCCAAGGAAACTCTTAATGTATGGAGTTATGTTTTGTTGTTGCAAATGGGTTTCTGCATTTAGAGTCCAGTCATATTGTTTATACTCATATTTTTTTACCCACAGATATTTATTAATTTTTGTTGATTATTAAGTAGTGCCTGCTTAGTGCAGATAACTCAAACAGAGGAAAATATAAATACTGCCATAATCACACCACCCAAAGATAACCACTGTTAACATCCTGCCATAGTTTCCAGTCTTTTCTTCTATTTGCTTTTATATTTTCCCACAAAATTATCATATTGTATATAAAGTTTTGTATCTTCCTTTTTTCATTTAATAATTTGAGTTTAAAAGATTCTTTGAAAGCACACTTTTTCAGTTAATAATATCCTGTTATTTAGGTGTATTTAATCATTTCCCTGTTATTGGTCTTTGGGGTCCTTTCATTCCACAAGCTTTTTATTTTTTAGTTTTCACTTTTATAAAGCTTCATTGAACAAGCACTTGTGAGTACATGTAAGCCCTGAATTGACTCTTTTGAAACTTGAGAGCAGAAAATGCTTATTTCTAAAATATATCTTAGTTCTACTAGAGTTCTTATGAAAAGATCACGTTGTAGCTGATCTATTACAGCATGACATAAACATCTTAGATTCTAGAATGTAAATGAGGTGAACATCTTAGACTCAGGTGCCTGTATTCTGTCTCTGTGATTGAATTTGATATGTTCTTGTTCTCATGTTTTCCAAATCCTGATTGATGAACAATGTTGGGAATGAATCCCAATTTGTGTCCATGATACAGGTACATCTCTTCTTTCTGCGCGCCCACGTGGGTGCGTGCGTGCGTGCGTGCGTGTGCGTGTGTGTGTTTAATCTTTCCTGTATTATTTTCCTTTGCCAGTCAGGCCCCTCATACCCCACGGCTCCCGGCAGTCACTACACTGTTGTCCATGTCCATGAGTCCTTTTAATTTTTAATCTTTAGAGCTCTGCAAGGTAGATTATGTTTTATCTTCCATTCTTTAGAGGCAGCAGTATTGAAACATCCCTCACTAGTAATTGGAAAAATATAAATTACAAAATTCCATTTCACCTTCATCACACTAACCAAAATTAAAAGCCCAAATGGGGCAAATGCTGACAAGAAAATAAAAAGCCCTCCCATGCAGTGGGAGTGGGAGTGTAAACGGGGCATGAAAAGAAGGGACCAACTTCAACTGTATTTGTGATGTCTTATTTATTTTTAATTTAAACACAATATGGCAGAGTAGTAAGGTTGAAAGCAAGCATTTGTTACGATATTTACTTGAAATATTTATTCCCCATTTTTAAAAGAAGCTGTATTAAAGTAGTTTACTAGGCTGCCATAATAAAGTACTACAGATTGCATGACTTAAGCAGCATAAACGTATTGTCTCAACAGTCGGAAGAGTAGAAGTTTGAGATCAGTGTAGGCAGAGTCTGTGTCTTCCGAGGCCTTTCTCTTTGGTGTGTAGATGGCCTTTTTCCTACATCTTCACATGCTTTTCCCTCTGTGTATTTCTGTGTTCTAATCTCTTTTCTTTTTGTAAGGACATCAGTCCTATTGGATTAGGGCCCACCCTAATCATCTCATTTTTTTTTTTTATCTTAATTACCTTTTTAAAGGGCCTATCTCCAAGTACAGTCACTTTCTAAGGTACTGGGGGTTAGGGCTTCAACATAGGAATTTTGAGGGGAGCACAATTCAGCCCATAACAGTAACAAAGTTAATTTAGTGAAGATCTCATAGCTGGTATAATGGATACATGGGATTCAGAGCTCTATGTGATTCAGTCCAAATGTTATTTCAGAATGCTACACTGATACCCTTACATTGCCAGAGATGTACCCCGAAACTAATTAGGTCTTTGTATTCCCAAATACTGGAAGAGTTAGAGAAAAAAAAATTTCTGACTTCAGAATAAAACCCAGAAGACAGAAGCTGAAAGCACTGAACTCAATCACACTGCTTATTTGCTAAGTTGAATTTAATCATATTTGGATTTAGGAAGGTAAAGAAACGGTACATGTCAAGTAGGAAATAAGGAGAGCAAAAATGTGGCAGAGAAAGGACAAAAGCCTAGAGGGTTATTATAAGAGGGCACTAGAAGAATAATACTGGATCATTTCTTAGGCATAGCAGAAACTGAGAAGTATCTCAAAACATAAAGTCTGCTATTATAATATGAAATAGTAGTTTTGATGTGAAAACTGAGTACATGTAAATATCATGAAGTTTGAGATAAATATGAGCTTTAGATATATCTTAGAACTCCAGGATAAGTCTTTTCGTATGGTCATTCATTCACTCATCCAACTAAATTATAGAGCTCTTTGTACATGGTGGGCTCTGTGCTTGGTTCTGCCAAAAGAAAGAAACTCTAAGATCTATGAAAGTTTCTGAATTTAGTATTAAAATGTAGACAGTCTTTGATACAAATTCTATTTTTTTGTAGTCATTTAGATGTCAGCAATATGACTCACAAAAGGTGAGTTCACACCAAATTTGGCCACATGAAATTAAATTTAAAAAGAATAATCTTTGCTATGATAAATTGTTAAGATACAACTTTAAAGAATGAGAGTTTAATTTTTATTGTAACTATTTTAAAGAATTTTACAGATTTTTTTACAGTAATTTTGTTCTGAATGGAGTCAATAACTTCATTCAAGTGCCATAGAGATGGCAGCAGTTTATGAGTGCAGTTTTTTCTCTTGCGGGTAGATTGTGCTCTTTAAATCTTCTCTTCGGTTTTATCTTATAGCTGTATTTGGAGCTGATAATGTAATGAACATCCTGTCTGAGATAACATTTTTTTTCCTTAACTACATGTAAGTTATATCCTCTGTCTTCTTTTTTTAAATAGGTAAAAATAAGTGACTGAAGAAGCATATCTGGAAGTCATCTAACATGTCGAGGAGAAGATTTGATTGCCGAACTATTTCAGGCTTGCTAACTACAGCTCCTCAAACTCCAATAAAAATGGAAAACTTTAATAATTTTTATACGCTCACGTCTAACGAGCTAGGAAGGTAAGGAAATTTTATAACATGTATGCTGTTTAAATTTGCATTTCATATAAATTCACAATTTATGTAAAACTCAATCATTACTTAACAATGATTAGAAAGAAAAGTCATCATCTCTGCTGTTATTATACAGGATCTAGTCTTAACTGACCAGACGGCTAGTGAGCTATTAGGATAAATGATATATCCTACCTAACTTCAGAGGCCCTGGGAGGAGGTCTGGGTGTCTATTTGAGACAGTGTATGGGAAGAGGCGGCTTAGCATAGTGAACTGCCAGCAAACTCTGTGACCTCAGTTAAATTACTCTGCCTCTTTGGTGCTGTAGATTCCTCATTTGAGAAGCGGAGGTGAAGATAATTATATCTATCTTACTGGTTTTTTGGAGGACTAAATTAGTTAATATTTATAGAGCACTTAGTAGAGTGCTATGTAAGTTTTTGTTAAATAAAAAAATCCCAGGATATTGTGCTGGGCTAAAAACAATAACTGGTTAGCTTCTCCTCTTCTTTCCTAAACACACAAAAAATAATTCATATATGATTATATAATTCTGTATGACAAAGAATGTATGTTCTATAAGTAAAACTTGTACTACACTAATATTAATATTTTGACTTAACCAAGTTGTAAATTCCTTGATGCGTAGGTCTGACCTGAGATTATAAAACCATTTATTGCTACCATTTTAATATATATGGAAGTTACAAAAGATATACCAAGTTATTTAAGTTATATATTCAGTATCTGTTGAGCTTTAAATTAAAGACACTTAACAAAGGGTTTGAAAATGGTAATCAGTTGCCTTCAGTTTGATTTTTAGTTCTGGAAGCAAGAGTTTGGCTTATATTAAAGTGGTTTACTAATTTAGTAAGTCCGTGTTTGCATTGATAAATGTACAGTAAAATAGTATGATTAATTTTTATCTTTGAAAATCTCAATGTCAAAACAAAAATTGACTGAATTATGAAAAGTAATTATGTTCTTGGCATATATTGGATGCAATCTTTATTTTGTAAAATAAGGATGATATCCACCTCATCAGACTAAGAATGAAATGTGAAAGTGCATTTCATAATTTCTGGCATATTTATTGAATTACATGTGTAAAATAACTGGGTTCTTTAAAAGATACAGTTTCGGGTTTATTAAAAGATACAGTTTTAAAAAACCTTTCAGAATGGTTTTTAAAAATTATTTAGTTCTAAATCTATAAATATTTCTCATTGCATTACAATAAGAAAGCATACGTTTTCTTTTCATTGACTATGGCTCACATGGACTAGAATCTTTGCATTGGAAGGACTTTGGTGGTCATTGGTCTTCTGACATAATTTTTGATGTAGGGCAGGAGCAGTCTTCTATAATTTTCCTCACAAGCTGTTTATTCAGCCTCAGCTAGAGTGCTGGGGAACTCACTAACTCAGAATGTGTCTGTTCCATTTTGTGGGCACTTGATAGCCACAGCAAGTTCTGTTTTCTACTCTTGTTAACATCCACCCAATAGACCTGGTTCTCTTTTTTGCAGCTGCATATACTGTCCATGTGAAAATCCTTAAGAGATTTGAACATGGCTAAATATTGCCAGCCTCTTTCAGTGCTCACCTTATGGCCTGACTTCCAGATAGCCTTCCTTGATCCAATAACCTCTTCTGAACCACTCTGTATTTTTCATTGTTAGTCTTAAAATAAGGAGACCTAGCATGGACATAGTATTGTCAATATCTTACCACCTACAGTAGACAAAACTTTATTTGAGGTAGCATAAGACTCCATTAGGAGTTTTCTTTCCTAACAGCCATGTCAAATATGTGTCACATGGTATCCTTGAGTGTATTGTCAAAATGGATTAAGTTGAAGTCAGCTGACGTATTTGTACTCTGAACCTAAAGTTATCTATAGCTGTGTGATCTGCCTTTGTGTGATTTCCTTGTCTTTAAGGTGAGAGGGTCGATTACGTATCTACAATTTTCCTTCTGTTGCAAAAATGTTTGGAAACTGCTTTGAGCATGTAGCTGAATATGCCTTGAACAGTATGCACAACAAAGGGCATTCTTTTCTGTTTTTCTAAGTTACTATTTTGATGAGTAAATGTACATACATTTATTAAATTAACTTTGTAAAATATGGGATATTTTAGAAAGTCTAAAAAATTTTTTCTTTGAGGGTTTTGGAGAAGTTAAAATATTCAGAGGATAATACTAATAATTCTAAATTGTTTTACAAATGAGAGGCCATTATAAAAATCATAAACTGGAACCAGATGTACTTTTAAACATTCTAGAGCAAAAACTTGTTGGAATCTAATTAGAACAAATTCAGATTTCTAATATCCCATCTTCTAATATCTTTATGAAAGAGACCTAACATTTTTCTTTTAATTGATATGGGCAACTGAGTCACATGGTAAATATTGATATATCTAATTAGTAAACCTTTACAAATTAGAAATCATGACCTTTCATCTGCCAAGAACTTGCTTTAAGTTCTTTTAATACCATTACCAATTTTAATATTCTGTACCTTTGTGAAATGGAAATTAGGATCATAATCTGGTTTCTCCTGAAGCTTGTACATTTTGAAGTATATAAACACGTAAGTCTGGCATGTGGTTAACTAACAAGTTATCTTTCTAAATCAATTGTTTTTTATTAATTTTAAGATGTAAGGATTTTAGAATTTATTTTCCTTTAGCAAGCTAAAGTAACGTCAAAAAGCGAACAGTTCAATTTGACTATTCTTAAAACTGTGTTGTTCCTGTTTTTTTAACATGTTGGGTAAGTTTTTTTTATCCTTCCTTCAACTAAGGCAAGATTTCATAGGCCTTCTGTGGTCAGAAGGGTGAGGCAAATGCAGAAATAAACGTCAGCTTCCTTTGTGGCTTACTCCACCCCCCCGCTTCACATTTTATTGTTTATTCTAGAATGCAGAAGGGTAACTACTAGACCTTTTCACTGCTGGGAAGTCTAGTCAGATTTGCCTTTTTAGGGTATGGATTAATTATCTGTATTTGTTAATGGTTTTACATTTTTTAAAATGTTTCTGTTAAAAATTTGATATAGAAGCAGTATGTATTGAAGTTTATTTTTGATACTTCTAAGCCACAATTAGCATTTTAGAATAGAAATCAAATACTTATTTTTTTAAAGTCATTTGATAAATATTACATTATTTAATAGTATGTAAATGAATATATGTAAAATTTTATTGGAATCTCAAATGAAGTTTAAAAATATAAACGCTTTATGTACAGTATTCAAAATAGCACAATATATGGTATTACAGTAGGTTCTTAAGTCTTGCATTCATTTAACAGATATTTTAGTCTCTATTATGTATTCGTTAGCAAAGTGTAGGCTTATAATTACTGTAGTAATAGGACACACAGGCTCTCTGCCTTCATGGGTCTTTTACTTAGTGGTGAACATTGACAAATAAGTAATTATTCAAAATCATTTGGTCACCTTTGCCCTGGATTAATGAGAACTAAACTTGTTTAAGAAAGCATCTTTAGAATACCTGAAATACTTAGAAACAAAGTGCTCTTACTTAGTTTTGTTTCTGAGAAAATCCTGGCTTGTAGATACATTCATAAAATTACAGCTGAACTAAATTGTCAGAACTGGTGTTATAAACTTTGTGGACAGTGTTCTTGGCCTACTAGTTTCTGTTTCTTAAGTTTTACAAAGTGGATTTCTTCATAAAATTTACAGTTTCCTTTCTGATCTAGACAAATTTTTGCTTCTAAATCTAAGAAGGAATTGGGAGAAGTGAGTTATACTTCTTAAAAAAAACTGTCTTGAAGGAATTGTTTTGTAGTGTTTTAGAATAAAAAGCTAGGAATTCACATTCCACAGTTTAATTCTTGGCGCTCTAGCTCCATAGATGACCTTTCATCAGTCATTTAATCTTAGTCTGACTAGTTTATTCAGTATAAAATCTATAAAACATGAGTGGTTTGAATATAAAGTAAAGGGAATGATTAACTTTTTGCATGCTAATTGATTTTAATGCATCAATTTGTATTCCTCTTGCATACAGTAAGAAAATATTTTATTGTTAATATTAAACATCCTCAAATAATAGATGAAAAGTTCTTTCAAAGAATCAAGTTTGTGCATGCAGTTTTATTGAGTTGATGTATATTTTGATAAATGTAGAAGAGTCAAATTATAGCTTAGTCACTTTTTTTGCATTAGTAGCTATAATTTTTCAGTTTGATTTCCAGTGTATTTCATTGGCGCCAATTTGGAGGAAATTTGGGAAATAAAGAGTAGGAATCTTTGTCATCCTGGTCTTTGAGAATAGTAAGTAAAATATAATCAAGCAATATATTTTGTCCTCCATCCCAAATTTAAATATCAAATGTATTAAAAAGTTTTCCTTATGAAGTACCTGATATGCTATGTTAGAAGTAAATTCTAAGGGAAATTGGAACAAGAGGAGTGGTGGAACAGAAGTTACTCTCTGAAGATCCTTTATTTATACTTGATTTGTTAGTATCTAGAGATAAATCGAGCCATAGGATAGAGGTTCTTAATTTTGGATTCCCTGAACTCAGGCTTAGAAGGTTTATGAATGGGCTTTGAAATCTAAAAACCCTCTGAAATTGTTTGTAAATCTTTCTATTGAAGGGCATGTGTACATATTTCTGAGTAGACCATTAATAGCTGTCATTAGTATCTTAAAAGAGCTTTAGGTCTTTGGGAAACTAGAGTTTGGGCAACTATAGGCTGGTACTCACACATTTGCCTGTGTTTTTAAATTTTGGCTGAGATACTGAGCGCTTTTATTGGAGAGAGCTAAACACGTTTATTCCTAAAATGATATACATGACTGTAATGGGTGAGTTTGTACATAGCTGTTGATAACCATTAATTTTCTTAATTGATGGTGAAGTGTCTTTAGGTAGTCTCCATAGGACATACATACCTTTCATATCTGTTACAGGCTTCATAGGCTGCTGAGCAATGCTAAGAGCTTTATTGGTATTACAAAGAACAAATGGTGATAGAAAGCGTCAAAGTTTTTAAAAGTGGTGTTGAAAGGCAAAGCCATTACACTAATAAAATTAAATGTCAAGTACCCATTTTTGCATTCATCTTAATTTTTTATATTTGAAGGAAAGCTATTTTGATTAGAGGGTTAAAGCTATTAAGGGTATGGTCTTTGGAAATAGACCAAGATACATATCCCTTCTGGGCCTGCAAAATAGAATAGCATTTACTAGATAAGATTGTTGTGATTCTTAAACACAATAATTAAAGTGAGGAGATCTCATGGAGTTGGCATAAAAATGAAGTCTCCCCCTACAATGATAATGTATTAATAGTGGAGAACAAATATAATTCCGTCTATCCTATTGGTACATTTGCTCTTTTCACTTTTATGTGATAGTACTATAAATTTTATAAAAGTACATGCAGCACTTAAGAGAAAAAAGAAAAATTTCATGGCATGATTATTTGAAAGGATTGACTTTAAATTTGAGGTATTTGTATTATGCTAATATTGCTCTTTATGGAAAAGTTAAAATTGATTGTCTTTATTTTTTTCCCCAGAGGAAAATTTGCTGTGGTTAGACAGTGTATATCAAAATCTACTGGCCAAGAATATGCTGCAAAATTTCTAAAAAAGAGAAGAAGAGGACAAGACTGTCGAGCAGAGATTCTGCATGAGATTGCTGTGCTTGAATTGGCAAAGTCCTGTCCCCATGTGATTAACCTTCATGAAGTCTATGAAAATACAAGTGAAATCATTTTGGTATTGGAATAGTAAGTATACACTTTAATAAATTAAGTTATAGTACCTATTTAATTGGTGGGATAAGGTGACTTGAAATAATCAAGAACAAGAATGATAAAAGTATAACAGGAATTTGTAAGCAAATCTGTGATAAAATATTTGAGGAACAGTTTATATTCACATATTTTCACCAGGCTAAATGTACAGCCCTACAGACACTAAAACTAATTAAATAGCACAAAATAAATAATAACAAAAATGTATGGGCAGTGTGGTGATAGGAATATATTTTCATTGCTAATGGAACAGAAATTTAATGATTTTTTTTGGAAAATGATCTGATAAGCAAATAGCATTGAAATTATGTACATATTTTGTCCATCTACTTGACAGACACATCCAGGGAATAAACTAAGGACAATGATAGGTAAACTTGCATGAAGTTATGCCTAGCAAATGGCTCATTAGTATGTGTGATATGCAGAACACTATGTTAGAAATTAGAGCAATAAGAAAAAACATCTCTCTTCCCATAAGACAGTGAAAGTTAAAAACACCCAAATATTCAACAGTTTGTCAGCGGGGGGGAAGAGCATGGTTAAGCTAACTGGTTTGTTAACCAATATATTGATATGTGACTCTAAAATAGAGCCTGTATTGCATGATAGTCTGATACATGTGTTTGAGTATCTGCAACAACTGATTGACTAAATTTATGTTCGGTACGCTTTAGGTTCTGATAGTCTTTTACAAAACAAATCTACTTTATAATAAACTAAAAAGATAGTGTTTTTTAAAAAAATGCATAATAAATGTAATTCTTTGTAATTCTTTTCAGTAGCTAATCTGCATCATTGCTTTTTTGAGTTTAAAAGTAGAATTAACCTAATTTTATTTTAAAAAAATTGTTAAAGATTTTATTTATTTTTAGACATAGAGGAAGGGAGGGAGAGAGAGAAGGAGAGAAACATCAGTGTGTGGTTGCCTCTCACACGCTGCCCCCCCCCCCCCCCCGGGGACCTGGCCTGCAATCCAGGCAGGTGCCCTTACTAGGAATCGAACCAGAGACCCTTTAGTTCACAGGCCAGCTCTCAGTCCACTGAGCCACACCAGCCAGGGTGGAATTAACCTAATTTTAGTATTTGGTTATCTTAAGGATGAGGGGGTTTGTTTATATATTTATTAAAAAATTGTGTCGGGAAAGTTGATTGCCTAGAATCAACTTGTAAATGAAAATAATTACTTTGCAAAATGTTAAACTGACAAGTTTAGTATTTAAGAGGAGTGAATACTATGTACATTTCTCAGAACACTAATGTACTAAATAAGGTTTATTATAGTACCTCCAAAATTAGAATTGCAGAAGAGCCAAGGGCACTACCAATATGATTTTATTTTGTGTTTACATTTGTCAGATTCTCAGCTGACCTTTAAAAAGTTATCTACTGCCCTGGCCAGGTGGCTCAGTTGTTTGGAGCATCATCCTGTACACCAAAAGGTTGCAGGTTTGATCCGCAGTCAGGGCACATATCTAGGTTGCGGGTTTAACCCCCCCAGTTGGGGCACATATAGGAGGCAACCGATCATTCTCTCCCCCCCCACTTCTTCCACCCTTCCTCTCTCAAATCTAAAATCGATAAACATATCCTCCAGTGAGGATTTAAAAGAAAATAAGTTATCTCCTTGCATAACACCTGCACGTTTGACTGCATGAAAAGTAACTAACATTTTTCCAAAACAGAAATGGAATTCTGGATTTGGAGAGTGAATATACATGGGGCATTGTCCACTTTAATAAAATCCTGTTTTTTGGTTCATCTAAATAGCAAACATAAAGTGCATCAAAAGTTTTGACATGTTATGATTTTTGTATTTTACAAAATTTCAAATCTACAGAGATGTTGAAAGAATAGTACAAATAACACTCTACTCTTCAGCTTGAGTCACCATTTGTTGACATTTTGCTAAATTAACTGAAATTTGTGGGTATTTTGATATTTCTCCTTTATCTGCCAAAGTATTTATCCAGTTTCTGTAATCTGCTGCTTATGTTGTCTGTTTTTTCCTCTCTCTTGACTCTTGCTCATTTTCTGTTTCCCATAGCTCTACCTATGTACCTCTTTTGTGGGAAAAATGGTAGTCCTACAACAGACATTGGTCAGCTTGCCAAACTAAAAAGAAGAGACAAACAATCATAGTATTTGATCTTGTTACTGAAATAAACAAGCAAAAAACCCCTAGGATACTTTAGATGGTTATACAAGTAATAACGTGTTTGTTGTGTTAAATTTAGAAGGTAAAAAAATGGAAATTATATGTAAACTGTGTTTACTTTTATGGCATATTCCTGTATTTTAAAATTATTATTTTTCAGTCTATAAATATCTATCTGTAGAAACAGATTGTGATCTATTGGGAGTACTCTATTGTAACCCTGTATTTCACTTAAGAATACATTGTATATATTTTTATATGTATGATATAATGTTACTAAAACAGAATTTTAATTTAGCAAAGACTGTTTAAAATTGCCTTCCTAATCAGAGTTTAGTAAGAAGCCCCAAATTCAGAAAGGTTGGATATTGGCTAGATAAGGAATTAATATTTGTTACTCATAATAATAGCTAATATTTATTGAATACCGTGTGTCAGACAGTGTGATGGTCTGCTTTGGTCTTATAACATCTGTTGTATTCAGTACTTTATATGGCTTATCTAACTTAATTCTTACAGCAACCCAATGGATCTATCATTTTTTATGTATCATTATGTTCCAGTAGAAGAAACAGGCACATTTGCTTACAATTGAAATAGTAATATTATCTGCAATCTTTGCAGGAATATACAAGGTAGAGTTCACTACTATACATTTTAAAGCAAACAATGTTTCATACTCAGATTGTCTTTACCATGATAAAGACAAATATTAAAGTTAATTTCTCATGAATTTTTTGAGAGGTGGAGAAGTTTAGGGGAGTTGAAGTATATATGATCAGTACTTTCACATGTGTTCCTTAACCATCTGTCCCACAGTTTTCTTTGGAATATCATAAACAAAATGTAAAGCATCAAATCCCCGAGGCCTCTAACTGCCAGCACACTCTGTATGGATGACTCAACTGCTAGTTACATCAGCAGTGTGAAGGGTCAGTCTTGTGACTTTCAGTGTGAGACTCAAATTTGTGACAAGCATGGATTTTTTTTCTTTTTCTCATGGCTCCTAATACACCATGACATGCTCCTTCCTTTTGGTAGTCACTGAGATTTCTGAATTTCGATTTTAGCTGCTCTGAAGAATGACTGCTTATTCCATCATTAATTCACTCGTTCATTCATTCATTCATTCAAGAAATAAAGACTAAACCTTCTACATGCCAGACAGGGTTCTTGATGTTGTAGATATAGCAATGAAACAAAGAAATAAAAGTAATAGTGTTTTTTAGAGTGAGTAAATTCCTTTTTTATCACACTGCATATGCTTTACTTGAGACATTCCCAAACATATACCTTATAAATTTGATGACTGACCATCTAGACCTTTTTTTACATGATATTCTGACTGAGATATTTTATCCTTTTTTTTTTTTTCAATCCTCTCCCCAGGACATGTTTATTGATTTAGAGAGAGAGAAAGAGAAAGAGCTCTATGATAGAGAAACATTGATCAGTTACCTCCTGTACATGCCCCCCTGAATGGCGATTGAATCCGAAATGTAGGCATGTGCCCTGACCAGGTTTCGAACCTGCAGCCTTTTGATATATGGGATAACACTCCAATCAAGTGAGCCACTCAATGATGGCTGAGACATTTTACCTTATTTATTTATATTTAGTCCTCAAAAAACAAATCTTTTGCATTGTGATATTTCTCTTTCACAGATGAGGAAACACAAATAAGTGACTGACCCTCTTATATTGCTGTAAACAGCAGATTTAGGATTTAAATTTGCATCATTTGATTCCCAACCTAGAAATTTTTCACCATACCTTTGTCAACATTTTTTGGCTTTTCAGTTCTTGAGAAGAAAAGATTTGGGTTCTTGCCCCACATATTTTTGTGAAGCTGCCAGTCAGGATATTGGTTAAGAATGTTGATTCTCACCCATCTTACACAGATTTGGATTCAGATTATGGTCCCTCCATTTACTGTGTAACCTTGTACAAGTTGCTTTATCTTCTTTGTACTTGTTTCTTCATCTGTAAGATAGGAAATAATACTACCTACTTCACATGGTTGTCATGAGGATCAAAATAGATATTTATATTGATACATAAATGAATAAAATGAAGACAGAGCAGAACTGAGCTCCTAGTGTTAGCTATTATTTTTATTGCATAGTTAAGGCAATTATTATTGAATTATAAAACAATTTAATTTATTAAATGTTCAAGTATTAGCATCCAGAATTTTAAATATTTTTGTCATCTACTTTATTCCTTCAAGATCCCTCTCACACGCTCTCTCCACTCCTTAAATGTGTATGTATATTAGACTAAAGTTTAGATGGTTGTGTGTCTTTTACTTAAGTATACAGTATCTAAAAGTGTCATATTTAGGTCAGTGATTTTTCAAGTTTCTATTTAAATTTTATTTCAGTGCTGCAGGTGGAGAAATTTTCAACTTGTGTTTACCTGAGCTGGCTGAAATGGTCTCCGAAAGTGACATTATCAGACTCATTAAACAAATACTTGAAGGAGTTTATTATCTACATCAGAATAACATTGTACACCTTGATTTAAAGGTAACGTAGCATGTGATTTTAGTAACACGACACCTCTGTTCCTTTTCTGCCCTTGGTTTGCACAATTGCAGATTGGTGTTGGTTGGAAACAGCAGTCAGATCGCACTGGTCTAGACAGCACTGGGTGTGCTCTTTGTTTACCTTTGTGCTGCATGGACTTAGTTTTGTATTGGCAGAAAGGAGAAGCCTGCATGTGTGAGCAGCTCACATTCATCCCTGGACTCTTAAAAAACCACTTCTCTGTAATCTAAGGCCCATGGGTGTCTGACCTTTTGGCATTTCTGGGCCGTACTGGAAGGAGAGTTGTCTTGGGCCATACAACAAATAAATTGCAACACATAATCACAAAAAAAGTCTCATAATGTTTAAGTAAATTTACAATTTTGTGTTGGGCTGTGTTCACAGCCATCCTGGGCTGCATGCAGCCCATGGGCTGCAGGTTGGACACCCCTGAAAGCCATCATTCCATTCCATCTCACACTCACTTTCTGAATCTTCCTCTCTTATAAACCTGCCAGCCTCTAAAATACTCAATTCTGACCTCCATCTCTGAAGATAACTTCGTACTAGTCCTCATTGTTTTGCTCCTTCGTACTCCTTCATCTTTCTATTGAGGCTTTCGGTCTTTTGGCTCCTTCTCTTATTTGTCTAGGTCATTTGGGTCTCTTTCCCAAGCCCTGTTACCACGTCAGCCTCTTACACTATTACCCTTTCTCCCTATCCTTCTTCTACAGCTACTCAAGGACCTTAAAATCTGAATCAATTTGTATCTTACTTTTTTTAACATTGAACTCTTCTCTTTTCTAAATAATCTGCTTCCCACAGACTCTAGCATGCATCTTACTGTCTAAGCTGCGAACCTGAGAGCTGGCAGACCCAGAACCATCATACTCTACTGAACCATTTTCTGTTTTTTGGAAATGCATGTCGTCTTTTGTTCTATTCCCCAGAGCTTCTTTCTAACTAGCATATTTCTGTTTATCCTTTAAGATTCAGCTTAAGCACTATCTCTTTGGCAAAGCCTTCTTGGACTTTCTTAAGGGCAGAATTAAGTAGTCTTTACTACTGAATAGACTATCTTAAAATCAATTAATCTGTCTATGCATCCATCTTTTCCCTCCAAACCAAGAATCGTCTTTGAGTGTATTTATTTATCATCTAATATATTGCTCCTCCTAAATAATAGTTTAGTAAATGTTTGATGACTGACTCAATGAAATATATAAGCAATAAGTTCCACTTACTTTACCTCCAATCTGAGACTAGTATTCTTTTAATGCTGTATGTTACTGATCTTTTTTGTTGTTGTTGTGTTTTATTAGCCACAGAATATATTACTGAGCAGCATATATCCTCTTGGGGACATAAAAATTGTGGATTTTGGAATGTCTCGAAAAATAGGAAATGCATGTGAACTTCGGGAAATCATGGGAACGCCAGAATACTTAGGTAAGAGTTTCCTCTTATTTTCTACGCTATTTTGAAATTGATTAACTAATGATACCTCTTTATAAGTATATTTTAGAGCATGTAATTCCAGGATATAGTTGGTTCACATATTTTAGTGCATTGAAATTTGGTTATGACACATTTGAAAGAACTATAGTAAATGTAACATTATTGAAACATTCACAACAATTCACAGTATGATGGGCATATAAGTTCAAAAGTTTAATTTTGGGGTAAAAGGGAAGCAGGAGAAAATGGAAAAAGAGGAAACCAGAATCGAGGGGCCCATTCTTGCCTTTGAAGCCAGGGTGTTGGAAGAGTCGCCACTTTCTGCCCTGGTCCCAACTCCAAAGCTGTTGATATAGAAATATCTTCAGTTTGCAGGAATTGTTAAGAGGACCCCTTGTTGATATTTTTCTTGCTGCTTTAAAATGTGTTTTGCCTTAGTTTGTAAAAGGATTTTGAAAAAGGGTGACAAAAAAAAAATCTGATTAGATAACCTAGTAATATTGTACTAAAGCAACAGATTAGATTAGGACGATGAAAGATTTTTAAGTTGCGGAAGCACCATATAAATTTAAAGTTTTTAAATGTGTGGTAATAAATCTATTTATACTTTTTTGGTTTTGCTTGTATTGATACCCCCATGCAGGCATGGAACTAAACAGAACAGGTGCTCCTCAAGCTAGGCGGCGGATTTACCCAAAATGAAAAACAAAGCAAATTACTAACTTTTGAATGCTAATAGAGGTGATAGTATCCTAGAATGAATGATTGTAGTTATATAAATAACACAGCTCACAGAAGTATATGAAAAGGTTGTAGATGGTGCAGGAGCATATAAGTCTCAAAGGCTTTATTAACAGAACTGTTAGGCTTTGGAAATGATTTTTCTTGGAGAAATTATGAAACCATACTGTCAAACAAAAAAATTATTAGTCAAGCATAAGTCTGAGTTTGTGCTCTGCTAATCTGAAATTTATGGTAATGTTTAGAAAGTACAGAGAATTTATTTTGTACTTTTAAAAATATTTTGGCAGGGGAGGAGATGTGGGAAATCCATTGCTTAGGAAATTAGGTTTGTGATAGTGAAAGAGGGATATTGACTCTACTTGAAAATCTAGAGCCCTTCCAGGAAACATAGTTTGCTAATAATGTCCTTATGAAATGCATATGATGCTATATATATACCCTGAAGAGAAAGACATAAATTAGTCTAAAGAAATAACCCACACTAATTCCTAACAGAGTAGTAAAATAAAGTTTTAAGAAGATTCTAGCATCTAACATTTTATTTATTCATAATTATATTTTCTGAAATTAATCTTAGTGAATAAAAAAATTACATAGCTGTGAGTTACTCTAAGAACATTATTGGTGCTTTTGAATCATGTGGTTATATAATTTGCTTAACATTAGCTATGTTTAAATGTTCAGTCACAGGATAATTTATGATGTTATATTTCTATTGCTCTTTTATTAGTAGTTCTTTACAATTAAATCCAGTTTTAGTTTAATGTAATTTTCATGTTTTTAAAATTTGTCAGTATTGAATTTGAATTGTATTTTCTCTTTCAGCTCCAGAAATCCTGAATTATGATCCTATTACCACAGCAACTGACATGTGGTAAGATTTTGTTAGTTGCCTACTTTATTAAAAGTGGGGTAGTATATATGCTAGGGTTCTTTGAATCCCAATGTAAATAATAAGGCTTTTTAAAAAAGATTTTACTCAGGCATCTTTATTATGTCACAGGAAACATTTACCTATTCATTCTTTTTAAGTAACACTTTGGCTTTGAGCCAAAGGTACAAAAATAAGTAGGAAAATCCCTTTCCTGAAGGAGGACTCCATCTAGTAAAAGAAAAAAATAGTCATACTACTGTGCTGCATGTTCTATCATGAAGATGAAATGCCCCTTAATCAACGTGGAGGAAGCATCAGACAAGCACCAAATGGAAAACATCTGATCTATGTCTAGAAAGACTAGGGAGGTATTTACTAAGCAGAAAAACAAGGTCAGGTCAATGCAGTTTAGTTTTATGGGAGTGGATCATAAGAGATATACTCTTATAAACTATGGTATTGTGAGTTTTTGTGGCTAGCACAGAGAGGAGACCATAGGGAGTAGAACTTGAACTGATAGTATAACTTGACTTGGGACCACTGTGGGTGGGGTGGGTCAGGTCTGACTCACGGTGTAAGAGTTTAGACTGTTCTGTGTGTTCCATGGAACTGTAATGGGTTTGCCAAGGAGAAGATCCTGTGGCTAAATAAGTGGGTGAAACATACAGTATGTATTGCCTTTTTCTGGCTCCTGAATTAATGTTACTAATGTATTTAAGGCTCTGAAAAATGTTGCAATGAAAAAAAAAATCCAACTACCCAACTTTGTACTTTGCCAAACTTGCTGACTATTTGCAAAGAAGCCCTGTGTATGTCTCCCAGATCATTACTATGTCATTGGACACTGTTTGGGAAATGCTACTTCTTGAGGAGCTGTGTGTACTTGGTAACAAGTGTGTCTGTATGAAGGACATAATGATACATATTTAATCCATTGCATGTATAATTATATAACACTGTACATCCCCTCACCACATATTCTTCTTCTGTGAGGCAGACTTTGAGATAACACAATCATGTTAGTTTTAATAATATAGGAACTTCTAAAAGCAATTTAAGTCTGTAGTTTAACTGTAAAAGTTGAGGACAGGAATAGGCTGAGTATCAATTTTATTTTATATAAATGTTTTAGGATTAACACATTTAAAATTCCCCTCTTCTCCCTTTTTTGTTTTTCAGGAATATTGGTATAATAGCCTATATGTTGATAACTCATACATCCCCATTTGTGGGAGAAGATAATCAAGAAACATACCTCAATATTTCTCAAGTTAATGTAGATTATTCAGAAGAAACTTTTTCATCAGTTTCGCAGCTGGCCACAGATTTTATCCAGAGTCTTTTAGTAAAAAATCCAGAGTAAGTAATAGCATTAATTAGTTTAAATATTATTATAAAATAAATAATAAATGTCTACTAAGAAACATATTTTAAAACAATATAAAATTATTAAAAATTTGATCTCAGGTAAAACGAGGAAAGAGATGTGAGAGATCATTAATTAGCAAATTTTAACTTCAAACGTGGAAAGTATAAAATATACAGCGGGAAATTTGGAGTGAAGAGAAGATTTAGGTTATTTTTCTCTCAACCTGCTACTAATTCCTGAAATTCCCTAAAATAATTAGAGATAGAAGGTTTACAGTATACGTGGCTGATTATAAGACTTTGCTGAGAATGATTTGTAGTTAAATAATTATATTTATGTAACAAGTACAAATTACTAGTTGTCAGATCTTTAAGGATCCAATGCTCTTTGCTTACTTAAGAAGGGACTTGAAACTGTGGCTTATGACTCTTAACCTCACTTGTTGGCAATTTCCAAGTGGTGGTGGGGGTGGGAAAGCTGGGCCCTCTTTTGTTTACCAGGATCGGCAGTGTTGACTTTAAAATGGCTTCAATATACTTAATGCAGAAGCTGTGTTACAGTGCCTTGGTCTGGGAGTCTGGGTTTTTTGTTTTTTAACTTGTCATATCTTTCATCTCTAATAATTACTTAATCTCCTGAAGGACTCAGTTTCTTTATCTGTTTAAGAAAAAAAAACAAAACCTCGCAGGTTTGTTAATTATTTTATTAGCTAATGCCTGAACAAACTACCTGGCTGTGTTTTGGACATGAATGGTTATTTAGCAGAAATAGTAATAATTGTTTCTGCTTATAAGAAATTTTCATTTTCTTAAATTTTTTTTTGCCTAGATTCTAAAGTTTCTCTAATGAGCACATTAATTTTTTTATAATCTGATAAAAAATGAACATAAAAACAAAGACTAAGGAAACATGTTTTAATGGTAGTGGTATTTGTGTGAAGGTTGGAGTTCTGAGTAAAGATAGGTGTTTTCCTTACTTGTGAAATATTGTGATATTTGACTATATTACAATCATAATAGAAAACAAAATTTAAAAACTCAGAATGTTAGATAAACATCATTGAAGAGTATCTTTTGTTTTTAAAATTTAGCAGTTACTGCTTTTAATAACAAAATAATAATAGAGATAATAAATTACTTACATGTATTTTCCTTCAAAGGGTCAATGAACCGAAGAATAACTACTAATTTTTATTTGTGAGGCTAACATACATCCTCAAACTTTTCAACTAGTTTCAGCTATAAGCTCCATGATAAATTGAATTTTTAGCACATGTCAGAATTAAAGAAATTTATAGGCACTTCAATTTTCCTATTATTGTCTTCTATACTATGTATGTTATTTTCATAATTAATAAAACATAACTTGATGATATTTTGAACTGCAGACATTTTCAACTTAATTTTTAGTTCTCAATTTTTCCTTGGTGTTTTCTTTCAAAGGAAAAGACCAACAGCAGAAACCTGCCTTTCTCATTCTTGGCTACAGCAATGGGACTTTGGAAATTTGTTTCACCCTGAAGAAACTTCCAGTTTCTCTCAAAGTCAGGATCATACAACAAGGTCCTCAGAAGACAAGACTTCGAAATCCTCTTGTAATGGCACCTGTGGTGATCGAGAAGACAAAGAGAATATCCCAGAGGATAGCAGTATGGTTTCCAAAAGATTTCGCTTTGATGACTCATTGCCCAATCCCCATGAACTTGTTTCAGATTTGCTCTGTTAGCACTTTTCTCTTCGACTCATTTGGACTAAATTTGAAATTTGAAAGCCACTTGAGTATGTGGTTGTGGTTTGTAGCTTCATATATGGCTTGTTTATATTGTAAATGCACTTTGACATAGAAAAATTTAGGGATTGTTTTAATGTTAAATTACTAGTTACTAGCATAATTTCATTTCCTATCCTGACATACCAACTATGCAAAGAAGAAAATGTTTAAATATGTGACCAAAAATAAAAGTGCACGTGAGTTTACATGTTATTGGAAGAATTCAAGTTCAAATGGGTTTATCGAAATGTTTTATGTGTCAGGGAAAAAGTGATTTGAATTATATTATGGCTGATGTAAACACAACAAATTGAAGACACTTGAATTTAATAAGTTTTCTAAGGAAAGTTCTATACCATGCCTCTGTTGAGAAAAAATTTTTAGGATAGCACTGGCAAGCAAGAATATGTACAGTTTTATAGATATTCAAGAGCTGTCGTACATTTGAAAATGTTTTTTGATTATGAGTATTTTGAAACTACATAAGGTTTCTATTATATATGGTCTGCTATGAGATAGGTCCTTTAGCCAGAGCCAAGGGGGACTTAGAAACCTTTCTAAGTCCCCCTTGGCTCTGGCTAAAGGAGCCTATATCCTTTATAGGTATCTATAGGATATCCTGTACAAGTTAGAGGAGAGAAAAGAGTAGCACAGCATTTTTTAACTCGAATATCTTTTGCCCACTCTCAATATTCTTCAGATGTAATAAGATCTAATATATGAAAAATATGTGGTATGCCAAAGTAGAGGACTCTAGAATCCTCCAGAGTTTCTAGAGTAGGACACTTAGATAAAACTGAACGTGCTCCATTTTTAGTCATCCAAACATACTTACTGAGTGTAGAAGAAAATGCTGACAGACTTCAGCAACTTACAAAATTTTAGATGTCTTCAAAGTCTTAAAATACAAGCAGAGTTCTAAAAGTATCCATTAAAAAAATCACAGTACCAGTAGAACTATTAACACAACGCCAGAGTCAGCAAGGGGTATTTGATCATAAAACACGATGACATCAAGCTCTTTGAAAGTTCTCGTGTAAAATTCCTAGTGACGTGAGGCCCAGCAGACAGCTGTCTGTAGAGTGGCCTCTCAGGGGCTTCTGCTGGGACCATTGCAAGGAAGAGTTTGCAGACAGCAGAATGTTCGATCAGTGGCCAGTGACTACATTCAGTCCTGAAAGGAGGAACTACTCCTTCAGGGGTAATCTTTGGTCAGACTTTCCACTTGGTGAGTATTAAAAAGTCTATTATATTGTCATGTTAACATTATTGTAATCTCATGACTATGTTACTGCAGCAAAAGAAATTGTTTTTAGCCTCAAAAAAATCCTTGCGTTCCCCCCTTTGAATTATATATTACTTTAAAACCTTTAATTTGTTGAAATTTTGTAAGATTCCAAGTAACTTAAAACTGTTTCTAATAACCATCAGTTCACTTTATCTGGTTAAATGGTCAATTCATTTTACATCTCCAGCATTTTTTGAAGGAAAGTTATTTCTATGTGTGTGTGCATATGTGTATATGTATAGATACATGTATATATGTATAGATAAAATACACCTTATGGACTGCTTTCTCTTAGACATTCTTTACTCTATATTGTGCTCAACTCAGGTGCCAAAGTAGCTCTTGTCTTATGACCTATGAATATACGTTTAAATTCTTTAGTAGTTTTTTTGGTCAGTAAACAGAAGCTAAATTGGGCTCTTGTATATGTAAAACTGATGAGTTTTTTTCTAAATCTTTGTCCATTTATTTGCCTTCAGTATTAAACTAATGCAGGTAAAGCTTAGTAAGTCATCGGAGAAAGAGGAAATGATTACTTTACAAAAGACTATATTATCTATTTAAATTTCTAGAGGAGTTGTGATATACTTAAAAAATCAAGATTGGAATTTTGAATTATAAGCTAGTTCTCTAAAAATATTTTATACTAGCATTTTTAGGAATCTTAAAATAGTTTATATACTTCCATTAGTTAATAGAATACAGAGTTGTGAGTTTCCAGATTGTTTTTCCTAACAATTTTTATTGTAAAAATGCAACTAGTGGTTGCACAAACAGTATAAAAATAAATTTTTTTCATAAGGAGGAATTTAAATATTTTCACCAGTTGAAATGTGAAAATAGACCAATCTTTAGAGAGAACTTATTAACAAATGACTCAATTCTTATTCTTTTTCTTCCAAGACTGAAAGCAAGTATCTATCAAAAGCAGATGATGTATCTCACTAAAGCAGGAATCTAGAGACCTTCTCTGAGGTGAATATATGTCTGTAACACTTACACACATCGGAGGATTAATGTTAAGTTGTGATGAATTTATAAAATTTAATTTGCTTTTTGCGTAGGATCCCTAGATAGATGGGATTAAAAAATAGAGTTTGGATGGCAATTACAATTGTCATTTTAATTTTTTTCCCCCCATATAAAGTTAATCTAACTCTGAGTAGTAAAATTATAATGGCACTTTAAAGAAGTCAAGCAGTACCTGTTCTTCAGTTGTAATGAAATAAGGTGCCTGTGCCATAATATAAATCAACATATTGCTTCCTTTAGCAAGAAAGTCCTGATATTAAAAAAAAAGTCAGCTGATTAGTGATATAATTGATTTTTATCTGGCACAAACTCACTCTTTCATTTTAGATTGGTTGCAGATAGTTCATGGGTCATACTTGGAATAGCTTTGCTCTAAGCAACATTTATAAATGTTGGTATTAATAACTGTTTACATTTCTTCTGTTTATTTTTGAATTTTCAGTTTGATATCTGTCTTAGGTACTTCCTTATTCATTGTTTTGTAAACAATTATACTTTAATCTCAAATTGTATTAAACTTAAGTTATTCAACTTCCAATTTGGGAAATTATCAGCTTATAATTTGATGAAAGTTTAACACACTTTAAATTCTTAATTATAAATTTCAGCAAATTACAACCACCCTCCATCTTAGCTTTCATTATATAATCTTGTTGCTTTAAGGCATATTGAATGCCATTGTTATGAATCGTTCAGTAAAAAACAAAAACTGTTACATCAACCTAATGATCCTTTTGGTTTAAAATGATAATGCACTTTTTTACATTTACAGTTGTCTTTTGTTTTCAAGTATTTCTAAGTTTGTTATTCTTAAAAGCAAACCTTCTTGCCTAGGGGTTTTAGCCTTTGATCCATATCATCTTTGAACTTCCTTTCCAATACAGTTATGTTTTTAGATCTTGCCTGTTTGAAAAGTTACATAAATTTGTAAACAAGGTCTGTTCTCTGGTAATAATGGATACTTTAAGAAAATGTCAGTGAATGGCAGTGTACTTCATGTTGCAGAAAGATGAATAAGAAATTCTAATTCACCAGAAGTGGATGAAGTGTTTATGGCTTTTTTCTTTTAGTTTAAATAAATTGAATCTTTTTTAAAAAGATGAATGAAAGATTCTTCAAGAAGTTTATAATATGGTTGTGCACTATGGTACAGTCAATTCCCATTATTTATGGTAGTTAAGTTCTGAAAATTTTCTGTAGACACTGAATACTGAAGCACTGCTCCTAGAAGAAGTACAGGGTTAGGTTCCTGAAAGCTCTTTGTACCATTTTTGTTAGCTGATCAATATATAACCTTGTTTTACTATGTTATTATTTAAAGACATTTAATGTATAGCTGATTCATTAACATTGGACTCAGTACTTGCACTGTAACTTATGCCTGAAGGAAGCTTATTCAATACATGTACTTTTTCCCATAAGGAACTTAACAGCCTTGTGCATAGGAACTCTACGTAGTACTTCAGAACCATGATTTGGGTCTATTTTAAACAGTAAAATCACCAACAAAATGCAGAAAACATATGACATTAATTAGACTGAAAAAGGACAGTTGTCTTGTGAGAAAAAGGCAGTTTGTCACCTTGTACAGCCTCAGCTGGAAACAAGCCTATCAGACAACTCAAATCTTCCACCATTGTGCACATGTTAGCAAATGACTGAAAACATCATGCGTGTTAATTTGGGGGTTACAAATACATTTTAGCAAGTAGGTGAATCTGCAAATATGGAATCGATGAATAACAAGGGTTAGTTGCACATGCTAAAATCACCATATAAGAAGTATGCAGTGTAATGAGAAAGAAATGGTATGCAAAACTTGACAACTAGTTGAATCTGTAGGAAGGAGAAATTGATGCATTGGAAATTTCTAATTGTAAACATTTTCTGTTCCAATATCTTACTTTCTTTTTCTGGAACAGACATTCCCGAATTTTCTCTTTAGTTCAAAATTTTCTCCTGGTCACTAAAGTGATGTTATTACATTTTTTATTTTGGATATAATAAAGTGCCCTCAAATATAAAATAGCTCTAAGTAAAATCATGATCATACTCTCCCTTTTTTTATCACATCCTCACCCAAACTTCGTGGTCTTACTGCCCTTAGTTAACAGCACTATACTCACATCACAACTGGAATTCTCTAGGTGTCATTCTAAAAATTACCTTATTGCACCTCTTTCAATTAATCATTAATTTTCATCAGTGATATCTCTGTATATCTTACAGTTATTTCCTCTTGATATATTTTGGAAACACAATTGGGTACACATTCTTTTCACTTTGATCTAGATTGTCTAGATCATCTAGAAAGGGGTCAGCAAACTATAAAAAGCCAGTTATTAAATATTTTAGGCTTTGCAAGCCAGACAGCCTCTTGTCACAACTACTCAATTCTGTTATTGGAGCATTAAAACAGCCATGGGCAATATGCAAATGAGTGGGCGTGCCAATAAAACTAAAAACACAATAGGCTGCATTTAGTTTGTTGACTGATCGAGATTACAATGATATTATAACTGGTTTTCCTAGTTCTAGCCTGATTGAGATGGGAGGAGAGGCCAGAAAGAGGGCAGTGAGTCTCATCTGAACTGTTTAACAAGCAGACTTTCAAGAGGAAGAAGACTGAGAAATGATTGTCAGAGATAATGATTTCTCTATAATCATTAGTTTGTAATAGTTGAGAATATTGTGAGAAAGTAGAGGCCACAGGTATATACTGCTCTTCCAAGAAATCTAAGGAAAGAGGAAGAGAACAATAGTTTGTAGAGTGTTTTTAAAAATGTTTTACTAGGCAAAGGAGTTCACATGGGTACAGCAATTGAAATGCGTTAAGAGTCCAAGATGATTAAGGATAGGAAATGCCACAGAAAGTGAAGAGACCACAAGTAGAACTGGAGGGGTCAACCTTGACTAGAATAAGGAAAAACATTTCTACCTGACAGACAAAAATGAAAAAGAAAGTGGGTGGCAATAGAAGTATGAAGGAAGGGGATGATCAGTTTCTCTGCTGAGAAGACTGCTTGTAGCCATCTGCTGAGAGTAAAGGGAGTGGAGGAGGATGTGCCTTGAGGAGTGAAAATTTGGCAAAAAGTGAGGAACAGAAGGATCCTTAAACAACACTGGCCAGATAAGTGAAGCTTACTATCTATCAAGAAGAGAGACAGACATTAAATACCAGACATCT